ACAGGCACATGCAGCCATCATGTGCCTTCACAGGAGTGTGCACAGCCCTGCACAAACACACAGAGCTGTGTGTCACAGCACAGACACACAGCCATGCACAACTGTAGCTGGCTGTGCACAGCTGAACCACGATTCACCACTGCACACAGCCACGCTCAGCCACACACAGCTGCACACACAGAGCTGCAGTCACAGCCCCACACAACTGCACACCTGTGCAAACACCCACACAAACTGTGCACAACACACACACAGCTGCAGTCATTCACAGCTCACACAACTGCACATCCACACAAACTGTGCACAACACACATGGCTGCTCCCAGCACACACACGTGCCCGTCGTGCACAGCACACAGCAGCACAGCCCTGCACACGACAGCTGTGCACAGCTGGCACACACACATAGACACACACAGACACACACACAGACACACACACAGACACACACACACAGAGCAGTGCACAGCCATTCACCACTCACAGCTCCACACAAATGTGTGCACAACAACCGTGCAGAACTGCCCTGGAGCAAAACCAGCTCTGCACAAACACAAACACACACACACACACAGACTCAGATACAGAGACGTACACAGAGACACACACAGCTGCCATCACACGCAGACAGAGCTGATATCACACACACATATACAGAGCTGTTATCACACACACACACACTCACACACAGCTGTTATCACACACACGCACAGAACTGTTACACACACTCACACACACAGCTGTTATCACACACACACTCACACACACACATTCACACACAGCTCTTATCACACACACACACAGAGCTGTTCTCTCTCTCACACAAACTCTCACACACACACACACACACACACACACAGCTGTTATCTCTCACACACACACACACACACACACACACACACACACACACACACACACACACACACACACACGCACGCACACCCCTGTGCACACTCGCACACTCCACTCCCGGCTGTGCCCCTCCTGCAGCCCCGGGGGCGAGGGCAGCGCGGATTCCCCGGGCCCGTGTCCCTCCCGTGTCCCCGGTGTCCCTCCCGTGCCCGTGTCCCCGGTGTCCCCGGTGCCCCCGGTGTCCCCGCTGTCCCGGCGGAAGGCGCCCGGCCGCGCTCCCCTCCCCTTCCGGCGGCCATGGATCCGGCCATGGATCCAGCCATGGATCCGGGCTGGGAGCCGGGCGAGCCGGGCGAGCCGAGCTGGGCCCGTCCCGGGGCGGCGCTGGGCGGCCGGGGGCTGCTGGCTCTGGCGGCGGCCAGCGGGGCGGCCGTGTGGGCAACGTGGGCCGTGCTGCTGATGCCCGGCTTCCGCCGCGTCCCGCTGCGCCTGCAGGTACCGGCACCCCAATCCCCTGTGCCTGCAGGTACCGGCACCCCGAACCCCCTGACCCGCTGTGCCTGCGGGTACCGGCACCCTGATCCCCCTGACCCGCTGTGCCTGCGGGTACCGGCACCCCAATCCCTGTGCCTGCAGGTACCGGCACCCCGATCCCCTGCCCCGCTGTGCCTGCAGGTACCGACACCTTTGACCCGCTGTGCCTGCAGGTAGCGGCACCCCTGACCCTCTGTGCCTGCAGGTACCAGCACCCCGAACCCCTGACCCGCTGTGCCTGCGGGTACCGGCACCCTGATCCCTGTGCCTGCTGGTACCAGCACCCCCATCCCTGTGCCTGCAGGTACCGGCACCCCGATCCCCTGTCCCGCTGTGCCTGCAGGTACCAGCACCCCTGACCCTCTGTGCCTGCAGGTACCGGCACCCCCATCCCTGTGCCTGCTGGTACCAGCACCCCCATCCCTGTGCCTGCAGGTACCAGCACCCCCATCCCTGTGCCTGCAGGTACCAGCACCCCCATCCCTGCACCTGCTGGTACCAGCACCCCTGCCCCGATCCCGGCCCCGCTGCCCGGCCCCCTGAGCCGCTGTGCCCCCACAGGTGCCGTACCAGCCCTCCAGCCCCCGGCAGGTGGCCAACACCCTGGCGCTGCTGCGGGGCCGCGCCGGCAAGACCGTGGACCTGGGATCCGGAGATGGACGGCTCGTAAGGGTCCTGGGGGAAATTGGGGTGTCCGGGGTGGGCGAAGGGCAGGGAGGGTGGACGGGACACCCCCACCCTGCTGCTGCCTGGCTTCTGGCTGGGCTTCTGGGTGGCCATCCTGGCTACAGTCCAGGACCATCCCCAGCGGTCCCAGAGGGTCCTCAGTGGTCTTAGACAGCTGTAGGTGGTTCTAGGTTGCCCTGGGTGTCCCTAGGCTGTCCTAGGTGTCCCTAGGATGTCCCAGATGGTCCTAGACTGTCCTAAGTGGTCCTAGACTGTCCTAAGTGTCTCTAGACTGTCCTAGGTGGCCCTAGACTGTCCTAAATAGTCCTAGATTGTCCTTGGTGGTCCCAGGTGACCCAGCATGGTCCTAGGTTGCTCTAGACAGCCCCGGGTGCTTCTAGGCAGCCCTAGGTGGTCCAGGGTGGCTCTAAATGGCGATGGGTGGTCTTTGGCAGCCCCAAAAGATGCATGCAGGGAGCAGGGTGGCAGTGAGGGCTCTGGGTGGTGCTGAGCTCCAAGGTCACCCTGCCTGTGAGCCAGCAGGATGGGGTGGGTGGAGCTGGGCAGCAGCCCCTGCCCTCCCAAATGCTGCCCCACACTCAGCACTGAGCTGCTTTGGCTTTCAGCCCTCCCTCTCTCCCTGTCCAGGTGCTCGAGGCTTACAAGCAGGGGCTGAGGCCAGCCCTGGGCTTTGAGCTCAACCCCTGGCTGCTGTGCCTGGCCAACTACCGTGCCTGGAGGGCCGGGTACCACGGGAAGATCTCCTTCCTGAAGAAGGATCTGTGGAAGGTAACAGCATCCCGAGGGTCTGGATGTGCTCAGGGCAGGGCCAGAGCTCTGTTTCCCTCTCCAGGATGGATTTGCTGATGGCTGCTTGCTCCTTCCCTATCCCACACTGCTCCTGGAAGGTGGAAATCCATCCTCCTTTCCAGGGAATGCCAGGTGGGGCAGCCTGTGGCCAGTTCTGCTGCTTGGAGCAGCTCTGAGGAGAGGTCTGGGTGCTGCTGACAGGCTCACCTGCAGGGATGAGCTTCTGAGGCTGCCATGAGGTATTTGCAGCCTGACCAGAGAGAATCCATCAGGGAATGTGGGTCTGGGATGGTGCTGGAGGCAGGTGTTTCCCAAGACGTGCTGCTTTCACACCCACACTTCCCCATCCCACATCTTTTGTGGCATCTTTGCTCCCTGCAAGTTTCCAAAGATCACCCACAAGCTTTGGACACTCAAGCAGTTGTTCCTGCCCTGCCTGCTGCTCGTTATTCCCCTTTTCCTTCTGGTTTAAGGTGAATCTCTCTGACTGCCACAACGTGATCGTGTTCCTGGCCCCCAGCGTGGTGAGTCAGCCCCTCACACCCTGAGTTCTTCTGGGCCTGCTCCAAGGGGCTTGTCTTGGGAAGGAGAGGGGATCTGTGGTGGAATAAGGCCAGGTGGGCATCCCTGTGGCTGGGTGGTTTGGTGCTGCACAGCATTTGGATTTATGGAATCATAGAATCATGGAGGTTAGAAAGTCCCTCTGGGATGGAGTCCTGCCATTCCTCCAGCACTGAGTCATGTCCCCACATGCCACATCCATGTTAAAACCCTGCAGGAATGGTGACCCCACCACTGCCCTGGGCAGCTGTGCCAGTGCCTGACCACCCTTTCAGGAAGAAATTTTCCCAATATCCAACCTGAACCTCCCCTGGTGCCACTTGAGGCCATTCCTCTTGTCCTGTTGCTCCAAGTCCCAGCCTTACCCAGCCCTCTGCTTTGAAGGGTTGATGTCCCAGAAGCTGCCCCACGGTCCCTGGTGGCACTGCCACTGTGTGACTGTGTCCTAATGCTGCCTCCTGTCCCTGGCTGTGTCTCTCTCCCCAGAAGCCTCCCTTGGCCACCAAGCTCCTGGCAGAGCTGCCCGACGACGCCCGCGTGGTGGCCGGCCGCTACCCCTTCCCCTCCTGGAGCCCCAGCAGCACCCTGGGCCAGGGGCTGGACCAGGTCTGGGCCTATGACATCAAGGAGGTGCGGAGACAAGAGCAGGGCAGGGCCCAGCAAAGCCAGATCTGAGCCCAGCCTCGTTAAGCCTGGTTTAACAGCAGCTGCCTTAAGCCTGGCATTAAGGGTCAGAGCCACTCCAGCCCTTGGCTCAGCTCAGGACAGAGGTGCTCGGCCAGCATTTCTCCTGGGGACTTGCAGGGTGGCAGATCTCCATTTTCCAGAGTGTGAGCAAAGCAAGAGAGGAGAAAATCAGACCTAGAAATCCTGGGGTTAACACAGGATTTAAAGGATGAAACTCCAGTGCCTCTTTTTAGATGATTGCTGCTTTATTTCAATTTAAGTTTTAAAAATAAAGTTTTGGTTGATCATTCCTCTGAGGTTTTTGCTTTGTCTTTGAGCTGCTGGATGGTCCTGGAGTTGGAGCAGGTGCTGCTCCTGGCTTTGCTCTGCCATCCTTTCCAGCTCACCTCAGTGCAGGATCAGTTTGGCCCTGCTCATCAATATAATATTCCATTTTCCACTCAAACACACAGGAAAGTGGAGTTTTCCCACCACAGAGTCACAGAATCATGGAATGGGCTTGGTTGGAAGGGATCTTGAAGCTACTCTTGTTCCACCCTGCCATGGCAGGGACACCTCCCACTGTCCCAGGCTGCTCCAAGCTCCATCCAGCCTGGCCTTGGGCACTGCCAGGGATCCAGGGGCAGCCACAGCTGCTGTGGGCAGCCTTTCACCACCCTCCCAGTAAAAGAGCAGCTCATCCCTTTGTCCAAGCCCAGAACAAATCCTGGTCTGAGCCAGCCTTGGCTCTGTCTCACAGGTGAGGAGAGCAAGGCAGGAGCAGCCCTTGGTCCAGGTCCAGGTCTCATCCAGGAAAAATATTCCAGCAGGAGCAGGAACCTGTCCCTGCAGCCCAGCAGTGCAGAGCTGCCTGGGATCCCTGCCCTGTGTCCCAGGGGTGCTCAGTGAAGGGCAGAATTCCTGCAGGGCACAGCCCAGATGCCGTTGTCTGCTCTCATTTCAGTCCTGCGAATTTAGAGCAGAAACACCCGCGTGGTTTCTCTCGCTGTTCCCACCTCCCAGCCGGAGAAGGATCCGTGCCTGGCACTCCATGAAGCACAGACCTCCCTTGCAGTGGGGTGTTCCCAAGGCTGGGGCTGCTCTGGCTCGTGGCTGGCACTGCTGGCACGGGGCACTGGGGGCACCTCGCTGCCCTCAGCCTTCCTCAGCCGCACGATCTCCTGCTTGTACCTGCAGTGGAGGTGCCACTGTCACAGTGAGCAGTGTGGAGCTGCCACTGTCACCATGAGCAGTGTGGAGGTGCCACTGTCACCATGAGCAGTGAGCAGTGTGGAGGTGCCACTGTCACCATGAGCAGTGAGCAGTGTGGAACAGCCACTGTCACCATGAGCAGTGTGGAACTGCCACTGTCACCATGAGCAGTGAGCAGTGTGGAACAGCCACTGTCACCATGAGCAGTGAGCAGTGTGGAACAGCCACTGTCACCATGAGCAGTGTGGAGGTGCCACTGTCACCATGAGCAGTGAGCAGTGTGGAACAGCCACTGTCACCATGAGCAGTGTGGAACAGCCACTGTCACCATGAGCAGTGTGGAACTGCCACTGTCACCATGAGCAGTGAGCAGTGTGGAACAGCCACTGTCACCATGAGCAGTGTGGAGGTGCCACTGTCACCATGAGCAGTGTGGAACTGCCACTGTCACCATGAGCAGTGTGGAGGTGCCACTGTCACCATGAGCAGTGTGGAACTGCCACTGTCACCATGAGCAGTGTGGAACTGCCACTGTCACCATGAGCAGCGTGGAGGTGCCACTGTCACCATGAGCAGCGTGGAACTGCCACTGTCACCACACATATGGAAACCCAGGGCACCCCAGGGAATATTTCTCTCTCTGCTCTGGGGTGCCCTGACCCCCAGGGGAGCACTGACTTTGACCCTCATTCATGGAGAAAGTTTCCCAGACTTCAAGATAAACTAGAACCAACAAAAGTGTAAATTGATTATAGAGAGTAGTGTAGGTGTATCACTTAGGTGGGAAATTGAGGTTTTGGGATTTTTAGTCTGTTGTGGATGGAAGCAGGATGGAGGGCACAGGGTGTCATCCTGGGTTTCCTCTTCATGCTTCTTCTTCCTTCTTCTCCATGGGTTTGGGTGGTATTTTGTAATTGGGCAGAAAAGTCTGCATTGGGAGCTCTTTAGGATCAGTGATTGGGTTAAAAGGGAAAATAATCCAGGTGTCAGTTGTTAATTGGATAGTTTAGTCTTTAAAGACCTTGTACCAAGAGATTGTTGGCCATTTTGTGCCTTCTAATGAAAAACTGCCAAACTCACAGTATTGAGACTGTTTTACTGATAAGAAATAACAAACACCTGAGTCTGCACACGAATTCCTGTCTCAAGTACTTTCAATCCAGACCCAGATAAACCCACAACTGGGACCCCCACACACTCACAGTCCCTGGGCAGGGAGCCATGCCAGGAGCAGAGCCTGGCACACAGATCCCACAGCCTTTCCCAAAGAAAAGGCATTCATGGGCTGTGCCAGGTAAGGGCAGAGCCTGAGCCAGCCCTTGGCAGGAGCAGGGGGATTGTGCCCTGGCACACCTGCCATGCTTGTCCTCTCCCTTCCTGCTGCTCTCCCTGCTCCAGAGCAGGATGAGCCAGGGAAGGGGAACACAGATCAGGGGCAGCTGGGAGGACTGAGGTTAGAACCTGTGAATCAAAGAACTCTGAAGGTTTTAGGCTTTAGATGAGGCTTTAGATTTTAGGTTCCTGTGAAGGTTGTGGGGAAACCTTAGGGCCCCTTCCAGGGCCTAAAGGGGCTCCAGGAGAGCTGGAGAGGGACTGGGGACAAGGTATGGAGGGACAGGACACAGGGAATGGCTGCCACTGCCAGAGGGCAGGGCTGGATGGGATATTGGGAATTAGGAATTGTTCCCTGGGAGGGTGGGCAGGCCCTGGCACAGGTGCCCAGAGCAGCTGGGGCTGCCCCTGGATCCCTGGCAGTGCCCAAGGCCAGGCTGGGCAGGGCTTGGAGCAGCCTGGGACAGTGGGAGGTGTCCCTGCCATGGCAGGGGTGGCACTGGATGAATGTTTGTGTCATTTCCAACCCTTTCCATGGTTGAGATTCCTCCCAAGGATGGGTGAGCACACAGGGCAGGACACCCGTGGTGTGTGGGGAGTGTCTGTCCTGCTGCCCTGTGGCACAAGAGGTGGTGGCAGCTGCCTGCACAGCAGTGGGACATGGGCAGTGCTGTGGCAGGGCCAGTAGCACGGGGCCAGCACTGGCACCAAGGCTGCAGAGGGGTCAGTGTCACCTGGCAAGGTGCTGGTCAATGTAGCCCTGCAGCTCCAACACCTGCTCCTCTGCCACCACAGCCCGAGTCAGCAGCTGGCTCCTCTGCTGCTCCAGCTCCTCCTGCAGACACAGAGCATGGAGAAAATGTGGAAAAAAAGAGATCTGTGCCATGGGAGTGATGTTGCCCAGCCCCTCTCTGCTGTGTGAGTCCAACCTTCCAACCACTTTCCCACCACTCCAACCTCTCTGCCATGACACCTCCCTTCTTTTGGCCACAGAGGCAGGCCCTGTGCAGGTGTGGAGCTTTACACCCCCAAGGGAATGAGCTTTACACACCCAGGGAATGAGCTTTACACACCCAGGGAATGAGCTTTACATCCCCATGGAATGAGCTTTACACCCCCAGGGAATGAGCTTTACACCCCTAAGGGAATGAGCTTTACACCCCCAGGGAATGAGCTTTACATCCCCAAGGAATGAGCTTTACACACCCAGGGAATGAGCTTTACACCCCCAAGGGAATGAGCTTTACACACCCAGGGAATGAGCTTTACACCCCCAAGGGAATGAGCTTTACACACCCAGGGAATGAGCTTTACACCCCCAAGGGAATGAGCTTTACACCCCTAAGGGAATGAGCTTTACACCCCCAGGGAATGAGCTTTACATCCCCATGGAATGAGCTTTACAAACCCAGGGAATGAGCTTTACACCCCCTAGGGAATGAGCTTTACACCCCCAGGGAATGAGCTTTACACCCCCAAGGGAATGAGCTTTACACACCCAGGGAATGAGCTCTACACCCCCAGGGAATGAGCTTTACACCCCCAAGGGAATGAGCTTTACACCCCCAGGGAATCAGCTTTACACCCCCAAGGGAATGAGCTTTACACACCCAGGGAATGAGCTTTACATCCCCAAGGAATGAGCTTTACACACCCAGGGAATGAGCTTTACACCCCCAGGGAATGAGCTTTACACCCCCATGGAATGAGCTTTACACACCCAGGGAATGAGCTTTACACCCCCAGGGAATGAGCTTTACACACCCAGGGAATGAGCTTTACACCCCCATGGAATGAGCTTTACACACCCAGGGAATGAGCTTTACACACCCAGGGAATGAGCTTTACACCCCTAAGGGAATGAGCTTTACACCCCCAGGGAATGAGCTTTACACACCCAGGGAATGAGCTTTACACCCCTAAGGGAATGAGCTTTACATCCCCATGGAATGAGCTCTACACCCCCAAGGGAATGAGCTTTACACCCCTAAGGGAATGAGCTTTACACCCCCAAGGGAATGAGCTCTACACCCCCAGGTGTAAAGTGGTGGAGCACTCCCTCAGGTTGCTGTGGACATGGGAAGGCAGGACATGGAAGGGAATATCCCTGCAGCCAGCAGGAACCAGACTGGGAAACTGATTTAGATTCAGCCTAGACTTGAACCAGGTCAAATAGAATCAAAGAATCATGGAATTCTGTAGGAATTCATGAGGATCCAGGTGTTAACCTGGCACTGCCAAGCCCACCACTGACCCATGTCCCCAAGTGCCACATCCACGTGTCCTATAAATCCCTTCAGGGGTGGTGACCCCACCACTGCCCTGGGGAGCTGTGCCAGGGCCTGACCACCCTTTCCATGAAGGAATTTTCCCAATATCCATCCTAAACCTCCCCTGGCCCAGCCTGAGGCCGTTCCCTCTCCTCCTGTCCCTGTTCTCTGGAGCAGAGCCCGACCCCCCAGCTGTCCCCTCCTGTCAGGAGCTGTGCAGAGCCACAAGGTCCCCCCTGAGCCTCCTTTGCTTCAGGCTGAGCCCCTTCCCAGCTCCCTCAGCCCCTCCTGGTGCTCCAGACCCTTCCCAGCTATTTTCCCTTCCCTGGACACTCTCCAGCCCCTCCATGTCCTTCCTGTCATGAGTGGCCCAGAACTGATCCCAGGACTGGAGATGTCCCAGCAGTGCCAGCATAGGGCAGCAATCAGCCCCAGTTTATTCCAGAGATGCCAAAAGTTTGTTCTGAAAAGTGGGCAGGAGTGACAAGGGGCTGCTCTCCTTGCTTTAGGAGCAGGGACAGTAAAGCCTGGAGACAGCACCAGCTGGGAGCTGCCAGCACTGCTTGGAGGGCTGAGGCCAAAGCCACAGCAGGGCTGCATGGAGAGTGATCCCCAGGGAATGGGCACGGCCCTGGGGCTGCCAGGGAGGGTTTGGACACTGCTGCAGGGGTGCCCAGGGTGGGATTGTTGGGGGGTCTGTGCAGGGCCAGGGGCTGGGCTGGGTGATCCCTGGGGGTCCCTGCCCACTCAGGATATTCTGTGACTCCATGGAAGTTTCCCCCTCCAGGCTGGAGCAGCCCCAGGGCAGGGGCTGAGGCAGCACATCCCTGCCTGTGGTGAGAGATCAGCTTTGGCTCCAGTGGCTGTTCCAGCCCTTACCTGGGTGTTGAGTGTGAATTCCCGGAGCTTCCTCTTGACCTCTGCCCAGCCCTCCTCATCCAGCTGCCTGTGACAGAGGAGCTCACATGGATCATGGCCAGACACCAAATCCAGCCCTGCACAGCTCACACAGCTCCACACAGATCACACAGCTCACAGAGCTCACAGAGATCACACAGCTCCACACAGATCACACAGCTCACAGAGCTCACAGAGATCACACAGCTCCACAGAGCTCACACACAGATCACACAGATCACACAGATCACACAGCTCCACAGAGCTCACACAGATCACACAGATCACACAGATCACACAGCTCCACAGAGCTCACACAGATCACACAGATCACACAGATCACACAGCTCCACAGAGCTCACACAGATCACACAGCTCCACACAGATCACACAGAACTCACACAGCTCACACAGAGCTCACACACAGATCACACAGATCACACAGCTCCACAGAGCTCACACAGATCACACAGATCACACACAGATCACACAGCTCCACACAGATCACACACAGATCACACAGAACTCACACAGCTCACACAGAGCTCACACAGATCACACAGAGCTCACACAGCTCCACACAGATCACACAGAACTCACACAGATCACACAGAGCTCACACAGCTCACACAGCTCCACACAGATTACACAGAACACACAGAACACACAGCTGCACACAGCTCACACAGATCACACATACAGATATATAAATCTTTATGTGTCTACATGAATACAGACATACATACACACACCCATATTCCTGAACACACATCTACATCTACAGCCATACATCCAAACTGACCATTTTAGGTATATGAACATGTGTCAGTTATTTGCATGTTATTACTTATTAATAAAGGTACTAGTTACATATTTAGAAAATCTGTCAAGTGGAAATATTGTTCTGATACAGATGTGGCTGATGTTATAGAGTCATTTTCTGTAGATGCCATTTTAATATTTGGGAGTATTTTTGCATTCATTTTTTTGTGAAAAAGATATGCTCAGATCTATTTTGGCACATCAGAATATTTTCTAACCACCATTCTGATGTCACAGAGATTTAATTAGGAAAGCCCAGAAAAATAAGAGGAAAACTGAAGTTCTTTCAGAGAAAACTCTCAGGAGACAATGGGTAACTGTGATTCTTTCAATTTTAGGGCCAATCATCATATTTTAACCCTCAAAAATCTTAATAGTAATTTCTTCTTGTGAATGTAAAATGACTTGCTAGGCTTTGTTGCAGGTAACAGTGCTAAGTTATGAATGCTGATGGCTTTTTGTACAGCCTTAAATTACATTGAAAAAGATACAGTTTCTTTAATTAAAAAGCTGCACTGAACTAATTCCTCTAGGTGAAAAAATGAAAGTTTTAAGCAATCTCTTTCTGCTCTGGGAGAGAAAAGCAGACAATACCATAACAGATCAGGAACGTGAGCTACAGAGTTCAGCCAGGAGCTGCACAAGCCGGTGCCCATCCCACCACCATCCTCAGAACCAGAACCTTTCCTCTCCCGGTGCCCAAACCTCCTCAGGGCGTGGGGGCACTCACAGCCCTGCAGCAGCCCAGGGCTGTTCCCGGGCACCCCAGGGCAGGCAGAGCCCTGGCTCTGATGGGAGCCGTCGGTGCCAAGGGCTGGCAGTGCCCTGGTGGGAGCAGGGAGCCCCCCTGGGCACCGGGAGAGCTGAGCTGTGCCATGGGAAAGCCCTTCCCAGCCGCGCCAGCCTCGGGGGAGAATCCAGGTGTCACAGACATCTTTGATGGAAAATCCTTTCCTTAGGCCTTTTCCTCCTGAGAAGCTGAGAGGCCTCAGGAACAAAATGTAACCAATGGTTATCTGCTGCTGTGGAATGCAACAGGTGCATCTGGGATTGGGCTCATGTGGTTGTTTCTAATTAATGGCCAATCACAGTGAGCTGGCTCAGACTCTCTTTCCGAGACAGAAGCTTTTGTTATCATTCCTTCTTTTTCTATCCTTAGCCAGCCTTCTGATGAAATCCTTTCTTCTATTCTTTTAGTATAGTTTTAATATAATATATATCATCAAATAATAAATCAGCCTTCTGAAACATGGAGTCAAATCCTTGTCTCCTCCCTCATCCTCAGACCCCTGTGAACACCATCTCACCAGGTCATGCCTGATGCTGGGGAATTTGGGCTGGGGAAGGCAGGAATGCTTTGTGCTCCCTTTGTGCTCCCCCAGCTCCCTCCAGCACCGGGAGATCCCGGCTGGGCTCCTGTGGGAGCCCGGGGAGAAGGGAACGATCAACAGGGCACTGGGGCAGCTCCTAAATCCCCGCAGCATGGGGAGGCAGAGCTGGGCTTCAGGTGTGAGAGGAACAGCAGATTTGTCTTTCCAAACAAGCTGGTAGATAAAACCAGCACTGGGAGATAAAAGATACAATGGGAAGGATTCCATTGATTGATGAATGGGAAAAGGTATTTGCTTTTACAAATAAATTTTAGGTTTGCTGGTAAATGAAATTGGATATTGAAAGATGAAAGAAACAACGAGGAAGAAAAACCCTTAAATTCCATGAAAATTAAAAATTAAAAGGGAGGGTTATACATTAGTGGGAAATCTCTGGTATCAGACTTTGGGAAGTCTGAACCTCTCAAGTACCTCAGAAATGGGGAAAGAGAGAAGGGAAATGTGGGAAATTGGGATAAAAAGGAGGCTGCATCCTCCAGAAACTAGAGAGACCCCAGAGGAATGCCCCATGGCCTCTCCCTTTATTCAAATAAAGCCAGAAAAGGACTCCTCTGTCTCCTTTTTGGACATAAACCTCTGGTGTTTGTGGATTAATTTTCCCAACAGGTGCCTCCGAGCCCAGCCCGTTCTCTGCAAAGGCGAGAGGCACCGGGAACTGGGGCTGGGAGAACACCGGGAATTGGGGCTGGGAGAACACTGGGAATGGGGGCTGGGAGAACACCGGGAACTGGGGATGCGGGAACACCGGGAACTGGGGCTGGGAGAACACCGGGAATTGGGGCTGGGAGAACACCGGGAATTGGAGCTGCAGGAACACCAGGGCTCTCGGGAATTGGGGCTGGGAGAACACCAGGAACTGGGGCTGGGAGAACACCGGGAATTGGGGCTGGGAGAACACCGGGAACTGCGGCTGCGGGAACACCGGGAACTGGGGATGTGGGAACACCCGGGCTCCCAGGAACACAGGGAATTGGGGTTGGGAGAACACCGGGAATTGGGGCTGCAGGAACACCAGGAATTGGGGCTGCGGGAACACCGGGGCTCCCGGGAATTGGGGCTGTGGGGACACCAGGAATTGGAACTGCAGGAACACCGGGGCTCCTGGGAATTGGGGTTGTAGGGACTCCAGGGCTCCCGTCTCCAGCTGGAGGAGCCGGGTAACAGCACACGGGTTAACCCAGCAGAATTTGGAGCGTGTGGGGTCTCATGGCAGTTAAAATAACCCCAAATGATGAAATGCATCACTGAAATTCAGGTTCTGGACCTTGCACGCCCTGCTCCTGTGGTGTCTGCCCAAATCGCTGCATTTACTCACGGGCCACTGCTCTTTTCAGTGTGGAACACATGGCAGAGGCTGGTTGAGGCTCAAGACACCCCTCCAGAGCCCAGGGGCTCTGGCCCTCACCCACACCTCAGTGCTGGCATCCAGCTAATGGAATATCTGACATGTTTTCTAGGTGACCACATCTTTTAGAGGGCTGAAAAACCCCAGCTCAGGTTTCTCCTGTGCTTTGTTCAACCCCTCCACAGCTACAGCTGGTTGAGTTTTAGCAGGATAGTGGAGCAGGGGAAGAGACCATCAAAATGTAGCAAATTCAGGGTTTGTTGCGAAGCCAGGGAGATGTCAGCATGCTGGCACCAAAGGATTCAAGCCAAAATCCTGCACTGGGAAGGAGGAAGAACAGGACTATCTCAAATTGGTGGTGTCTCACAGGCCTTTCTCAGGTTGTGATCCACCAAAGCACTTGGGCAAGTGCTTAACTTTGGCTTTTAAAGAGGTCAGTGGGGCAAAAGACATGATTAAATCAAATATGTGCTTAAGAGCTTTCTTGGATCGAGGCCCAGTGACCAAAGCCTCTTCCTGCAGGAAGAAGGGACAGCTGCCTCTTCTTCCCAGAGCAGGCCCCTTTCCCTGCCTATTGCTGCCTCCAGCCAGGCAATCAGGATCCCTCAATCCACACATCCATGGGAGTTTGGAATGGCAGATATCCCAAGGAACAAACAGCACTTACTGCTCCGGAGGCGCTGGGAGGGCAGAGGCTCCTTTCAGGCTTTTCTGCAGGCAAAGGAAGAACAGAATTCCTGTGAACATGAACCCATTGCAATCCCAGATCCTGCCACTTTCAGAGAAATCCTGCCATGGAATGGGTTAGGCTGGAAGGGGCTTTCAGGATGATCCCATCCCATGGCAGGGACACCTCCCACTGTCCCAGGCTGCTGCAAGCCCTGCCCAGCCTGGCCTTGGGCACTGCCAGGGATCCAGGGGCAGCCCCAGCTGCTCTGGGCACCTGTGCCAGGGCCTGCCCACCCTCACAGGGAACAATTCCTTCCTTACATCCAACCTAAATCTCTCCTCTGTTAGTTAAATCCATTCCCTTTGTCCTGTCACTGTCTGCACATGTAAAATGACATTATTCCTCTTTTCTGTGCCCTTGGAAGTGGCACAAGGTATCCCAGCACTCCCACAGCCACCAGTGCCACAGCAGGGAAACCATGGGTTGTACAATCTGAAGGTTTCAGGTCTCCCATCCTCTGAATTTCTAAATAAATGCATCCTGTGCAAATCAAGACCCACATTTGCCCAGTGGGAGGACGCTTCCCCATCTCTGGCAGTGTCCAAGGCCAGGTTGGATGGGGCTTGGAGCTATCTGGGATGGTGGAAGGTGTCCCTGCCATGGCAGGGGTGGTGTCACTGTCATATTTTCTGAAAAATCCTCTTCACCCAGGATTTTCTCCTGGAAAGCTGAGAAGCCTCAGCTTCTCCTGTGTTTACTACTACATCTAAAATGTAGTCTAAAGATTGTTTATCCAACATGTGAATTGTTTTAACTTAATGACCAATCATGGCCAGCTATGTCAAAGCTCTGAAGAGCCACGAGTTTTTATTATCATTCTTGCTAAACCTTTTATCTGTATCCTTCTCTATTCTTTAGTATAGTTTCAGTATTAATATAATATAATATAATATAAATTAGTTTATATTATATATACTAATATATACTATATATATTATATATAGTATATATTAGTATATACTATGCTAATATATATTTCAGTATTAGTATAATAGAATATAATATATATTAATATATAATAATATATACATATATATTAGTATATATAATACAGTATATATTAGTATATAATTATATATATAATATATAATATCTATTAGTATTCTTTAATATAATGTAATAACATAATTAATCAACCTTCAAAAAACATAGAATCTAATTCTCATCTCTCACCTCATCCTAAAAACCCCTGCAAATACCACAAACAGTAACCCCGAGTGTGGCATTGATCACCCCTTTGTGGTGTCACAACACAGGGGTGGAAGAAGATGAGCTTTAAGGCCCCTTCCAACCCAACCCATTGCATGATTCCATGATTCTGTCCCATGGAGATGACTGTTGTGTGCCCTGCCTGTGGCCCAGGCACAGCAAACCCTCAGGGAGAGCATGGATGTGGCACTTGGGGGCATGGCTGAGTGGTGGTCTTGGCAGTGCTGGGGGAACTGTCACAGGCATCTTTTATGAAAAATCCTTTCTTTAGGATTTTTCCTCCTGAGAAGATGAGAGACCTGAGGAACAAAATGTAAACATTGAATACCTGCTGCTGTGGAATGCAACAGGTGGATCTTTGATTGGACCATGTTGGTTGTTTCTAATTAATGGCTAATCACAGTCAGCTGGCTCAGACAGAGAGTCAGACACAAACCTTTGTTATCATTCTTTCTTATTCTATTCTTAGCTAGCTTTCTGAGGAAATCTTTTCTTCTATGCTTTTAGTATAGTTTTAAGATAATATATATCATAAAATAATCAATCAAGCCTTCTGAAACATGGAGTCAGATCCTCATCTCTTCCCTCAACCTGAGACCCCTGTGAGCACTGTCACAGGGAATAGTTGGCCTTGGTGACCTGAGAGGGCTTTTCCAACCTAGCCAATCCTACAAATGCCTTGAGGAAGGGGCTCATGAAGGGGCTCATGGCACTGTCCCCAGCTCCCTCCCTACCTGCTGCAGCTCCTGCAGCTGCACCTCCAGCTTTGCCTTCTGCTCCCGCAGGCGGTTCAGCTCTCGGGCGCTGTTTGTCAGCAGCTTGGGGTCTGTGATGCACAAGTGGAGCTCGGCAGGGCCACAGTCCATGGCACTGCTGCCCAGGGTCCGGATCTGCTCCCGCTGCAGCCTGAAACCAGCACGGGGTCACTCCCTGCCCGCCCTGCTGCTGACACCGCCAGGGCTCTGCTGCTCCTGGGGGTGCCACTCGCTGGGACCTGCTGGTTCTGGCCACCTGCAAAGGGAAACTGGGAGAGTTTCTGAAGGGAGCTTGTCCTAGAGCTATTTGTGGCTTTTCTACCACGAGTATTTCTGCTGCTTCCCACAGCCCAAGCTGCCGAGAGAGCTGAGAGCGCTGCAGGGACGGGCTGGGAGGTGGAGCTATTTGTGGTACCTCTGCCTTTCCACACCATCCACCGTGGGATCAATCTCTCACCCTGCATTACAAGTGGGAGGAACATATGTGCAAAGCAGCTCCATGGGGTCCAGAGCACCCTGACGTGCAGCTGGAGGCAGCTTGATGCTGGATTGCCAGGAGCAGGGGATAAATGCACATTCCAGACCCTCTGCTCCACTTGGGAGCCCTGCCTGCCTCCTCCCAGGGCAGAGGTGGCTGCCGTGGGGCTTTTCCAGCTGGCCCTGAGGAGGAGGTGCTGAGGTTTACCCATAGGCAATGAGCAGGTTCTCGTGCTTCTTGGCCAGCTCCTTCAGGCGTTTCCTGTAGCCCCGGGCTGCCCGGGCCAGCTGCTCCTCCCGGCGCCTGTAGGAGGCCTGGATGTCCCTGAGCATGCTGTCCACAAAGTTCTGCATGGCAGCGTGGCCAGCTGGGGCTTTGCTGTGTCCTGGTACACTGCTGGGTTTGCTGTCCATGTAGTTCTGTAAGTGCACAGAGAGGGAAATCCAGGGGGAATGGCTTCCCACTGGGTTAGAGGGGATATGGGGAAGGGATTGTTCCCTGTGAGGGTGGGCAGGCCCTGGCACAGGGTGCCCAGAGCAGCTGGGGCTGCCCCTGGATCCCTGGCAGTGCCCAAGGCCAGGCTGGATGGGGTTTGGAGGCACATGCTCCAGTGGAAGGTGTCCCTGTCCATGGCAGGGGGTGGCACTGGATGGGCTTTAAAATCCCTTCCAACCCGTTCCATGGTTCTGTGGCAGCCCCCCCATCCAGATTTCCTGGATTGTCAGTGAGCTTCTGCTGGGACTTTTCTTGGTCAGATTACAGGGATTAAAAAACCCTTTCTTTATGTATTTAATTTATTGGCTGCAGCCTACAAGAGGAGGGTGCCAGTGTGGAGACACCTGAGGGAACAGCTGGAGCTGGGCCAGGGCAGGGTCAGGCTGGATTTTGGGAAAGGTTCTTCCCCCAGAGTGTGCTTGGCACTGCCCAGAGAATGGGCACAGCCCCGAGGCTGCCAGAGCTCCAGGAGTGCTTGGACAGCGCTGCCAGGGATGCCCAGGGTGGGATTGCTGGGGGCTGGATCCATGATCCTTGTGGCTCCCTCCCCACCGGGGATACCCCATGGCTCTGTGACCCCCGGGGTACCCACGGCCAGGTCCCCGAGGCACTGGGCCAGCCGGCACCGATACTCCTCGTTCAGCTCCTTCAGCTGCAGCTGCAGCCGCGCGTTCTCCGCCTCCACCTCCCGCAGCCGCGCCTGGGACGAGAGCAGCACCTGGCACAGCACACAGAAACCCTGCTGGCCTCCTCCTCCTCCTTCCTAAGAGCTGGGGTCTTCATTCCCAGATATTTGGCTTCACTAGAGCTGGGAAGGTCCTGGGTTTTCAGAGGAACCCACTGGAAATATTTATAATCCCTATTCCCCTGGCACTTTCTGTCATTTGCCACCCCCCACCCCGGTGGTTCCACCAACTCTTTCTGAAAACCAGCGAGCAAAATTCCTCCCACCAGCTTTGCAAGCAGCGCTTCCACCACGTGCAGGAGGAAACTGCACGGGAGAACCTCGGTGTGCCAAACTCCCTGCAGAGGGAGAGGAGCTGGAGCACCGGGATTGAGGCTCCCCAGCCCCTGCTCACCGCTGAGTGCTCCACCCGCACGGCCCCGGCCGCTCCCTTCGCCTCCTGCAGCTCCTGCCCCAGCGCCAGCCTGCACACAGAGTGGGAAACGGGGCCTATTGCAAGTGCCCGAACTCCTCCATCCCATCCCAAGGCCAGGCTGGATGGGGCTTGGAACAAGCCTGGATAGTGGAAGATGTCCCTGTCCATGCCAAGATAGGCTTTAGGGTCCCTTCCAACCCAGCCCTTTCTGGGGTTCTGTGATTCTCCATAGGTCTAACACAGGCAGCTTTGGGAAGAAAATCATTTTGGAATGACAGAAATCTCCCAGCAGCAGCTGCCAGCCTCCCAAAGTGTGTAAACAGTGTCACAAAACCTCTCCCCACTGAGGATGAACACCCTGCACAGTTCAGAGGGTTGAGTCCGGCAGCATTCCTGCTGGAACAGCCCTTCCTGGGACACTAACCCCATTCCAAGGTGATGGAAAACCCCCTCTGTGGGTAAGGGCTGGGCTGGATTAATCTCTGGGATGTCACACGTTTGCTGTGTGTCACAGAGAGTGGATTTTCAAGGTGTCCCTGGAGACCACCAACTTTCACCTGACAGCTCTGAAGAGCCTTGAAAACATCAGGTTTTCCTTTCTGGCCTCACTCCTTCCCTGTACCCCCCAAGGGCAGGCTGCCTCCCCTCCTGCTCCATGGCTCAGATCCAGTCCCACAAACACCTGGCCAAGCAGAGGGACACTCACACTCGCTCCTCCAGCTTCTGCTGCTGCTCCTCGTGCCTTTTCTTCAGTTTTTCCAGCTCTGCTTTTATGTGATCCTGGTTTCCAAGCAACTGAGGGACAAACGAAGAGGAAGATGAGGCATGAGGCTGAGTGAAGAGAGGACAAAGTGAGGAGAGCCTGGAGCTGAGCCCTGGTCCAGCTGAGCAGTGCCAGGCTGGGGAGGGACTGGTGTGGCTGGGAGGGGCAGGAGTGGTGTCTGCTGCCAGCCAGGGCACGCGCAGGGGCACATGTGTCCCTCTCACGTTGAGAGTCAGATTCCAGCAGGAGCTGCTGGTGGAGACCAAGCTGGTTCTGCAAGGGCTGCAGATGGGGAGGAGGCAGGGACCGTCTCTGTGCTCTCAGTTTTGGGTGCTTCATCACCCCCAGATTTCTCAAGTGTGAGAAAGAAGAGAAAAAATTCTCCTCTGCATTTGTTGTCTTCTAAGCTCCTGTCTTTGTTCCCCTGCCAGGGCACGGACCCAGGGAATCACCTCTGCCCTCCTCAGCTCTGCCTGCACATCTGCAGCTATTCCTGTCTCGTTTTGTAACTGCAGGGTTTAAAAAAAGGATTTAAAATGAATCAAGGCATCAGCTGATCCACAAAACTCCAGTTAGCAGCAGGAGGTGCCAGCCACAGTTGGAATCAATCCCCCTCTGCTTCCCAGGGATCCTGCAGCAGACCCCTGCACACTCACGTTTCTTTCCAGCTCCTGCTGCTCGTGGTCAGAGGCAGCTGCATCCTCGGGCTGCTTTGGGGAGAGAGAAGAAGGGGCCTGGTGGATCCCTGTTCTCCGAGGGCTGGTGGAAGGGCAGAGAGTTCCTCACCTTCCCCCTGAGAGCAGAGCGGGGCTGTCCCGCTGCTCTCGCTCTTCCAGGCCCCGGTGAGGATGGATGGGGCAAGCCAGGGGGGAGGCTGCTCTCCTTGGCCAGGCTGAGCAGCTCCTGGGTCAGCTCCTCATTCCTCATCACCTGCAAGGTCAAACAAAAAGGAAAGAACTTCTGAAATCCCCCTCTGGTCAGCACATCCCTGCTGCTCCAGGCAGGCACCCCCTCCCCTCTCCAAATCAAGTTTTAATTTTGGTTCTGTCTCCTATGTCCAGAGATAACAGTGATTTTCTGCTTCCCATGGAAATGCACTGCCCCATAGCAGGGTAATTCCCATGGAATGTTCTCCCTCTGCACATCCCACACTCAAATCCACACTCAAACCCTGTGCCAGCTCTGCCACCACCTCTGCAGCCTCCAGCTCCCTCCTCACCCCCACCCTGCACCTCTGTTCAGCTTCCCAACACTTCAGGAACATCCTTTCCCACGGAGCAGCTTTGAGCAATGCTGGGCCCCACAGCACAAGGAGAAGGGTCAAGTCTTCTCCATCCATCCATCCATGGATCCATCCATCCATCCATCCATCCATCCCCCATCCATCCATCATCCATCTATCCATCCATCCATCCATCCATCCATCCATCCATCCATGGATCCATCCATCCATCCATCCATCCATCCCCCATCCATCCATCATCCATCTATCCATCCATCCATCCATCCATCCATCCATCCATCCATCCATCCATCATCCATCCATCCATCCATCCATCCATCCATCCATCCATCCATCCATCCATCATCCATCCCTCATCCATCCCTCATCCATCCATCCATGGATCCATCATCCATCCATCCATCCATCATCCATCCATCCATCCATCCATCCATCATCCATCCATCATCCATCCCTCATCCATCCATCCATCCATCCATCCATCCATCCATCCATCCATCCATCCCTCCATCCATCATCCATCCATCCATCCCTCATCCATCCATCATCCATCCATCCCCCATCCATCCATCCATCCATCCATCCATCCATCCATCCATCCCCCATCCATCCATCCATCCATCCATCCATCCATCCATCCATCCATCCTTCATCCATCCATCCATCATCCATCCATCCATCCATCCATCCATCCATCCATCCATCCATCCTTCATCCATCCATCCATCCATCCATCCATCCATCATCCATCCATCCATCATCCATCCATCCATCCATCCTTCATCCATCCATCCCTCATCCCTCATCCATGCATCCATCCATCATCCATCCATCCCCCATCCATCCATCCATCCATCCATCCATCCATCCATCCATCCATCCATCATCCATCCATCCATCCATCCATCCATCCATCCATCCATCCCTCATCCATCCATCATCCATCCATCCCTCATCCATCCATCCATCATCCATCCACCCATCCTTCCATCCATCCATGGATCCATCCATCCATGGATCCATCCATCCATCCATCCATCCATCCATCCATCCATCCATCCATCCATCCATCCATCCATCCATATATCCATCCATCATCCATCCATCCATCCCTCATCCATCCATCCATCCATCCATCATCCATCCATCCATCCATCCATCCATCCATCCATCCATCATCCATCCATCCCTGCAGATGACACATTCCCAGGTGGATGGGATGCCTCCCCAGCCCACAGCCCGGTGTGGGCAGTGATTCAGAGCAATGCTGCTGTGAAGTGACACATTTCCAGAAGATAAAGAGGATGTGAATGAGGAAAGCTCCATTCCAGGTGATCTGGAGGGAACACTGGGGGAATTCATGTCTCCCGGGAGGGTTTCTGTGTAGATAACAAAGCTCTGATGGGGTTTATGACTGGGGACAAGCTTGAGTAATTGTTACCATGGCAGTGAATCGGAGGATGGGAGGCAGAGGTCATCTGAGTCATCCGTGGAGAGAATAGCTTATCAAAAGATAGTGCAGGGTGGGCTGGGGGAGAGCAGGGAGAAAGGAGCTGCCAGAGAGGTGAGATGTACAGCTGTGAGAGCTGACAGCTCCGCACAGACAGCTCCGCTTGTTCCCCGGCTCCCAGCGATCCATCTGCAGCTGGCAGCCCTGACAGTTTGATCGCAGGGGTAACAAGGACCGGTTTAGCCAAAAATAAAAAAAAAAAAATAAAGGGGCAGTCCCCGGTTAGAGTTGGGCTCCGCTGCCTTTCCTGAGCTCCCGAGCCTGGCGTGGCTCCAGGGAAAACCCCGGCGTGGGTTTGGGTCCCCTCGGAGGCTGCCACCGAGCCTGGGGCACAAAAGGAGAAGGAAACGGAGAGCGAGGAAAGGTCAGAGCCTTGAAAAGGAAGAATTTACAGCGAGTCAGAGAACAGGCACCGAGTGCCTGCCCGGCATCTCCCTTGAGGCGCTTCCCGCGGGCTGGGCAGGGCCGATCCTGCGGGATCCCGCACAAAGGAGCCGCCACAACCCGCAGGCTCCGGCTGCTCCCGGCCAAGGGGCCGTGAATGAGCTCCCGAGCCGCTCCTGCGCCAAGCAGCCATGACAACATATTGGCAAGGTCACAAGTAGCACTTGTAATTGGGAATGTGTAAAAGGTTCATTGTCTCCCCCAAAGGAGCGCCGGGGAACGGGAGGGGGCAGAACCGCAGGCTGCTTTTCCCATTTCCTTTGGGAAAGTCCGCACTGGGAAAATAATGAGCAAGAGGCCCATGTCCCGACAAGTCCCAGGCTGCCAAGTCGGAGCCTCGCTGGCTTCAGGCAGGGATTTTTGGGAGTTGGAGCCAAGGAACTGGGGTAAACTCCTTGGCACAGGGAGGACATCCAAGGAATTCACCTCTGGCTTCTGGCCCTGCTTCAGCACTCAGAGCAACCTGCTCTGGGGGAAGGTGTCCCGTGGCAGGGGCTGGAATCAGGTGGGGTTTAAATTCCTTCCCCCCCAAAGCATTCCTTGACTCTGTGGATCCTCAGGATGAGATTTGGCACAGAACTGAATCCACGTGCTTTCACCCTCTGAACCATCCCAGGATCCATGTGAAAACTGTGTGTTATTACCTCCAACCTGCTCAACCCATCATTTAGAGATGTCAGCTGCCTGAAAATGCCGGTTTTGACAACCACATTGCACCCCCTTGGGGACGAGAAGCAGCTGAGAGCGCTGATGGCTGAGCTGCTCCTCCCTGAGCCCCGCAGGAGCGGGAGCAGAGCTCTGCCTGTGCTCCAGCGGCATCGCAGGGTGGGATCACCCCCTGCAGGAGCTGAGTTGTGAGAAATTCCCAATTCTCAGCTCCTGGGAGACAAACGATGTCTGCCCAAGGGTGATCATTGTCCTGCTGTGCCACTGCCCGTGCAGGCACGCCGGAGCAGAGCAGCATTCCTGCTGCACATCCTCCAGCACAGCACATGGAAAACCAGGTCACTGAGCTGAGGCAGCGAACGCTGCTGGGGGAGGGAGGGAGGGAAGGGAGCGTGTCAGTCATTCCATCCCATTCAAAAAGCGGGAGAAGCGGAGGGGGAGAGGAGGGGACAGAGGAAGGGCCATTGAAGTAGCCAAAGAAATACACAAATCTGGGTCCAAAAGCCTCCGGTTAATCATTGCAGAGCGAGCAGGCAGCGGGAAGGTCTGTGTCTCTTAAGGAACCGTCGGACACTTGCTTGAATTCGGTGTTTTTATAAACTTTTCCACCTGAAAGCTGCCAGGCCCCTTCCCGCCGCCCGCAATGAGAGCGGCTCCAATCCGTTCACGTGCGGGCTGCGCAAGCCAAGCAGAAAAAAGGGAAACAAAGGGGGCTGGCAGCGCCGGGAGAGCGGCCCCCGCAGCCCCGCCGTGACCTCCGGGCAGCGCCGGCAGCGGGAGGGCCCTGCCCGAGGGGGAACGGGGACGGGCGGGGCAGCGCTGCCCTGTCCCCAGTCCTGTCCTCATTCCTGTCCCCAGCCCTGTCCTCATTCCTGTCCCCAGCCCTGTCCACAGCTCTGTCCTCATTCCTGTCCACAGCCCTGTCCCCAGTCCTGTCCCCAGCCCTGTCCACAGCTCTGTCCTCATTCCTGTCCACAGCCCTGTCCCCATCCCTGTCCCTATTCCTGTCCCCAGCCCTGTCCACAGCCCTGTACCCACTCCTGGCCCAGCCCTGTCCCCATCCCTGTCCCCACCTGTGTCCCCATCCCTGTCCTCAACTCTGTCCCCATCCCTGTCCCTGTCCCCATCCCTGTCCCTGTTCCTGTCCCCATCCCTGTCCCTATTCCTGTCCACAGCCCTGTCCCTATTCCTGTCCCCAGGTCTGTCCCCATCCCTGTCCCTATCCCTATTCCTGTCCCCAGCGCTGTCCCCATTACCAGGGCAGGTCTGCAGGCCCTGGGAGGAGGAGCTGGGTTACATCAAATCCCCAGAGACAATTCCCTGGCCAGGCTGTGCCGTGTCACAGCTCAGAGCCTGGGCATGTCCTGGCTGGGTGTGCTGGGACCCTGAGCCCCCTGGGCTGGGCTGAGCCCCCAGGGCAGCAGTGGGGGGGGGGGGGGGGGGGATTCTGCCCCTCTGCCCCACTCAGGTGAGACCCCACCTGCAGAGCTGCCCCAGCCCTGGACCAACAGCAGCAGGACCTGGAGCTGCTGGAGAGAGTCCAGGGGAGCCCATGGAGATGCCCCAGGGCTGGAGCCCCTCTGGAGCCAGGCTGGGAGAGCTGGGGGTGCTCACCTGGAGAGGAGAAGCTCCAGGGACACCTCAGAGCCCCTTGCAGGGCCTGAAGGGGCTCCAGGAGAGCTGGAGAGGGACTGGGGACAAGGCATGGAGGGACAGGACACAGGGAATGGCTCCCACTGCCAGAGGGCAGCTGTCACAGACATGTTTTATGAAAAATCCTTTCCTTAGGATTTTTCCTCCTGAGAAGCTGAGAGGCCTCAGGAACACAATGTAACCAATGGTTATCTGCTGCTGTGGAATGCAACAGGTGCATCTGGGATTGGGCTCATGTGGTTGTTTCTAATTAATGGCCAATCACAGTCAGCTGGCTCAGACTCTCTGTCCGAGCCACAAGCCTTTGTTATCATTCCTTCTTTTTCTATTCTTAGCCAGCCTTCTGATGAAATCCTTTCTTCTATTCTTTTAGTATAGTTTTAATATAATATATATGATAAAAATACTAAATCAAGTCTTCTGAAACATGGAGTCAGATCCTCATCTCTTCCCTTATCCTTGAACCCCTGTGAACACCATCACAGACAGGGCTGGATGGGATACTGGGAATTAGGAATTGTTCCCTGGCAGGGTGGGCAGGCCCTGGCACAGGGTGCCCAGAGCAGCTGGGGCTGCCCCTGGATCCCTGGCAGTGCCCAAGGCCAGGCTGGGCAGGGCTTGGAGCAGCCTGGGACAGTGGGAGGTGTCCCTGCCATGGCAGGGGTGGCACTGGGTGGTTCTTGTGGACTTGGTGACCTTAAGAGATGCCTCAACAAGAACCTTGGTACAACTGCATGAGAAGCCTCCCTGGACCTGAGCTGTGATGGGGCAGCACAAATGAAAGCCAAGCAAGGCCCCTGCAGCCAGGGAAGGTGAGGTGGAGCTGGATCTGTGGGATAACCCCTGGGATGACCCCTGGGATGAGCTCTGGGATGAGCTCTGGGATGAGCTCTGCAGACTCCTCACCTCCTTGTCCAGCTCTCTGCCGAGGGCCAGGTAGTTGCTCTTGAGGATGATGAACTCCTCCCCCAGCTCCTGCCGGCTGCTCTCCAGGCTCTGCAGGCGCTCCCGCAGGGAATCCCGCTCCTCCCGCAGGGAATCCCGCTCCTCCCGGAGCCCGGCCCTGCCCTGCTCCAGCTCCTGCACCCGCCTCTCCAGCGCCTGCATCTGCACAGGGGGACAGCAGGGTCACAGCAGGGCCACAGCAGGGTCACAGCAGCCCCAAAGCCAGGGGGGATTTCACGGGAATTCCTCGGGATCTGGGGGATTCTGCTCCCTCTCAAGCCAGGAGGAGATGCAAGCAGGGCACAGGGATGTGCTGTGCAGAGCTGGGGGAAGGGGCTGCAGGGGGCTGTTCCCAAAGTGGCACCATCGATTTCAGCTGGAAGTTCTCTGTCTCATAACGCTCCTTCATCCTGTTTGTCTCGATCTGGAGATCCACGAGGTCTTTGGAAATCTGGGAGACACAAAGGCAGTGAAGGCCATGGGTGGACTCTGAGGCCAGTGTGATGTTTGAGCACAACACAGCCCCCCCAGAAGGAGGAATTCCCCCCAGATTTGTGCATCTAGTGGCCATCACAGCTCAGCTCCCTCCAACTCCCAAAGTTTTACCTTCAGTTTTTCCTCTTCACTCAGGACCATCCTGGCTGGGAGGTCTGTCCTGGAGCCAGGCAGTTCCCCCATCTCCTCCTGTGGGTCTCCAGGCTGCTGCACCTCCTGGTTCCTGTCCTCCAGCTGCACCTGGAGGCACAGAGCAGCTCCAGCTGGGCCCTGCTCTCCCCCTGCCCAGCCCACCCCTGCACATCCAGAGCCTGAACAGATCCCAGCCAGGCTTCCAGCAGCCATTTCTCCCCTGTGGGGAGCATTTCCTTGGCAGAGTGCTGGTTCCACGAGCTGGGAAGGGGCTGCAGACCTTCATAGCTGGATTTTTGGGCAGCAAGGTGCTCTGTCAGAATACTCACGCTCTCATTCTCTGCAGTAATTCCAAAATCCATGTGCTCAGGGGTCAGGGGCTCTGCACAGGGCTGGGCAGGCAGTGACTGAGGAGCCCAGGAAGGATCTCTAAGGAACTTCTCCCAGGAGGTTCAGCACTGTTGCTACCAACTCTGGTTACCAGAGGCTCCCACCTGGATTTTAAGGTGGCTCCAAACCTTCCAGCCACCCTGGGGACAGAATTCAGAACATCCCTCTGGCTGTCCTGGATGGCTCAAACCCCTGCCAGGGGGCTCAGAGACCCTGGCACAGAGCCCAAGACCCCTGTGCCTTTGATTTTTAAACCATGGAAAAAATTACCAACCTTATGTGAGGATCTGCAAGCAAAGAAAGTCTAAGTAGAATAACAGTTAGTTTGTCATGGGGTGAAAAATGGATTTTTGAGGTTTTTGGAATGGGGGTTCAGGGGGCAAGATGGAGGAATCTGGGTGTGTCCTGTCCTTCTTCTTCTTCTTCTTGTCTTCCATCTCCTGCTGTGATGGTGGCACTTTTGGATTGGTTTAAGGTAGAAGCTCACTGTCTAACACAAGTGATAGGTATTGGGAAGTTATGGTAAATATTGTACAGGTAGTTTTTAGTACAAAAAGATAACACTGCCCTGGGGGCAGGCAGAGTTCCTCTGACTGTCTTGCTGAACAGACCTCAGCTGGACAGAAAAAGAATTTTATAGATAAGAAACAATAAACAACCTTGAGACCGAGAACTGAAGATTTCTGACTCCTTCTTCGATTGCTGGGCTGGGAAAAGAGACTTTGTGACACATCTCAGGGTCACTGAAATCCCAGAGCTGGGAGCTGCTGGCACTGCCCAGGAGGATCCTGTGCCCCCAGCTCAGGAAGAGCCCAGGGCAGGCAGGGAGGGGGTACAGCCCTGTAGGGACCATTCCCAAAGGTGGCTGCAGGGATGGCCTCCATCTCCAGGACAGGGACATCCCAGGGCTGACAGGAGAGAGGGAGAGGGAATTTCTACATGGGCCAGCAGTGATGGGACAAGGGAGGAGATTTTAAAGTAATAGAGGAGAAATTGAGAATGAGTAAAGAGCAGGGATAGATGGGAAGGAATTGTTCCCTGTGAGGGTGGGCAGGCCCTGGCACAGGGTGCCCAGAGCAGCTGGGGCTGCCCCTGGATCCCTGGCAGTGCCCAAGGCCAGGCTGGGCAGGGCTTGGAGCAGCCTGGGACAGTGGGAGGTGTCCCTGCCATGGCAGGGGTGGCACTGGATAGATTTTAAGGTGCCTTCCCACCCAAACCATTCCATGATTCCAAGGGCTGATTAACCCAATAATTAACCCACTAAACCATCCTCCTGCTCCAAGCCCATCCCATAATATCTGATTTTCTTCCAGGGAACTTCCCCTGGATCCCTGCATCCTTGAACCTCCTGTGCCAAGGAGCTGCTCCAGAGGCCCCAGGATCTCTGAGCTCCGGGTGCAGCAAAGACCTTTCCCAATTCCCCCCTTCACATCAGAGCTGCTGTGTGGAAAATGAGGTTTTAAAGCAAAGCATGCACTGAAACCAGCCTGGATTAGCCCAGACAGTGCCAAATCTGGGCTGTGCTGGTCTGGGGGCTGCTGCTGGCTCCAAACTGGGACCTTCCAGGCTGGAATGGGACAAATCCCACAACTAAAAGTGTTTGGAGAATCTCCAGGGTCTGAGTGAGGGTAACGGAGTGGATAACCTGGAAAACCTTGAAAGGGGTGAAACCAGATGGACTGGGAGACCTTCAGAGGGCACTTCCAACTCCAACTCTTCCATGATTCTAAAATGAATTCCAGTTCTTAATCTCCTCATTTCAGGCTTATTATTGCTGCTATTTCTGGAGAGTGGGTGAGTTTAGGTAATAATCTGTCTCCCACAGAAAAAAAAGCTTTGACAATATAATGTTCAAAAAAGCCCAAAGCTCTGAATAACTCCTCAGGATCTGTCAGAGCTCAGCAGATGGGAAGGAGAGGGGCCATCCTCAGAGCTCCATGACGAGCAGAGCTCCTCACCTGTCCCAGGCTGCTGGGGGAGCCCCCAGAGAGGGTGGGCAGAGGGCAGAGCCGGGGCTGAGCACTTCGGGGGGCTCAGGGCAAGGAGAAGCCAGCAAACCGTGCAATTACAGCTTGTTTTGCTGCAAAAGAACTTAACAGACCTGAAGTAATTTTATTAAGGTAATGGAAGTGCTGATGAGAATTCACAGTCTCTTCACACCCAGCCCCAGCCCGATTCACACCCTGCCCACGGCTCTGGGCACGGCGGAGCCGAGCAGCAGCAGCTCCGTCCCGGGGGGGTCCCAGCCCCACATGGGCACCCCAGGCATGGGCACCCCCGCCCCACAGCCCCGCGATCTGTCCCGGACCCCCTGATTTGGGGGGGAACAGCCCCCGCCCCCCATCCCACTGCTGCTCCCGGAGCCGCAGCGAGCCCGCTCCAATTAACGGCAATTAACAGGTGCAAACACGGCGTTAATTATGCAATAAAAACCTGTGTACCAGGTGTGCTACCGGCACCAGGAATGACAGCGACCACTTTTCCCAGGGGCTGGGAATACAAAGCCAATTTTGTGCCGGGCAACAGCACAAAAAGCAGATTGGGGCTGAGAAATGAAGTTTTGGGGTGTCACTGAATCTCCAGCACCACTCCGGATTAAACCACGTCCAAACCCCGGCTCTGCCCTGAGGGGTTTCACTCTCCTTGGCAGGTTCACCTTAAACCCAGCCCCGGGAGCGCGGCTTTAGGAGATGGAACCGCTCCCAAACCCAGGGAGCTCCGGGGAGGCTTTGGGGCGCCCGCTGCTCGTTGTCCCCTCTCCTCCGGCCCTGGCAGGGTCACACACGGCCCTGTGCCCCCCAGGGGACCCCCGGGCGGAGCAGGGGAGCAGCTCCCGGCAGAGCCACACGGGCTCAGCGCAGTGATGGCTCCATCTGGCTTCCAGCGGCAGCAAAGGGAGCCCGAGCCCGGATCCGCCAGACGGCCCCCGGGACGCCCTCTGCACCCCCGGGATGCGAAAATGTGTATTTTATGATTGGCTTTTCGCAAATATTAAAATATTATATAATATATAATAATATAATTAGAATTTTATATAATATATAATATATTTATATTATATAATTGTGTAATATATATTTCTATTATATATAATATAAATATATCTATAATATAATATAATATAATATAATATAATATAATATAATATAATATAATATAATATAATATAAATATTATATAATATATAATTAGAATATTATATGTGTTGTGTTAGAAAGTAATGCTGCATTAATTCTCTTAAGTACTGTGGTAAATATAGTTTTAGGTTATAAAAAAAGCGAAAATAGAAACTGTGCTATGTAGGATATTTTTTTTAAGGAAAGGACTTGCAGCGAGGTAGCAGCCACAGGACACCTGAATCTTTCAGAGAAAAAGAATTTATTGCTCTCTTATCAGAAGAAACGAACTTCTTCCCGCCTGGAAGGCACTGTTAGGATTCAGGGGAAGAAGTTGAGGATGACCAGACAGAATCCTGTGTTTGAATGGAATTTATGCATCATGTATGAAGTGTATGAATATGCAACAGGCTGTTGTTTTTAAGGGTTAATCCTCTGTTAACGTGGGTCCTTTTTTGGGCTTGTGCTGCCCAGAAAGAGGTACCTGGATGTCCATAACTCTTTGTATTTATTGTCTCATATTGTCTTAATTCTAATTATCCAAATTATTATTACTCTGATTGTATTACTATTTTTATAACCATTTTATTACTATTAAACTTTTAAAGTTTTAAAAAACCAAGTGATTGGCGTTTTTCACACTGGGGGTGCCTGAGCCTCACTGCCCCAGGGATGGGGAATCCCTGGGCACCCACAGATCCCCCCCAGCACATTTTCTCTTTATATCCAACTAAATCCACCCTGTTCCAGTTTAAAGTCACCACCGTTTCTCCTGGCTTGAGGAAAAGCTTTTCTGTGTCACTTTTCCAAGGCCTGAGGCTGCCACAAGGGATTCTCCAGGCTGGACAGCCCCAGCTCCCCCAGCCTGAGGAAGGGAGAGGAGGAGGGAGCTGCAGGACCTCTCTCAGCTCCCTCAGAAGAACAGCAAAGGTTCTTCCAGCCCCCAACCACCTCCAGGGTCCCCTCTGGGTCTGCTCTGGCCCAGCCAGGTGTGCCCTGTCCCGGGATCCCCTCCTGGGGGTGTTTGTGTGCTCAGGAGGGCTCTTGGGGAATCCTCTCCCTGGCCTGCCCAATCTGGGGTGCAGCCCAGGGATGCTGGGTTTGTGGGTGCTGTGGGAAATGGATTTGGAGAGAGTTTTTGGGGTTGGATAGGAGGTTTACACGGGATGTGTTTCTATGGAAACTTTGAGATAAGGAATGCCCCTCAGATGTCCCATCCTGGGTCAGACAAGGGATGGCAGTCTGACAGGCTGCCAGCACCCACTGCCACCCCACATCCCAACTGTCACCCCCTGGCACCTCCAGATGCTTCTCTGCAGGGCTGGGGGGAGACTTGGGATGGGCTGGGCAGGGAGGATGGGGTGGGGCTGGGATCTGGGGCAGGAGGAAAGCTCTGCTCCTTCTGCCACCCTACTACCATTCCTCAGGAGGAAAGCTCTGCTCCCTCTGCCATCTTCTCACCCTGTCCCTCAGGAGGAAAGCTCTGCTCCCTCTGCCACTCTCCCACTGTCCCTCAGGGGGAAAGCTCTGCTCCCTCTGCCACCCTACTACCATTCCTCAGGAGGAAAGCTCTGCTCCCTCTGCCATCTTCTCACCCTGTCCCTCAGGAGGAAAGCTCTGCTCCCTCTGCCATTTTCTCACCATCCCTCAGGGGTAAAGCTCTGCTCCCTCTGCCACCCTCCCACCCCATCCCTCAGCTCTGCTCCCCCTGCCCCCCTCCCACCCCATCCCTCCCTCAGGCACCCCGAGGTCCGGGCTGTTCCCTCTGTGCCCGGGTCTGCAGAACTGAGCTGGCACATGGAGAGCACCTCTCCCCTGTCCCTGCCCACCCTGGCACTGCCCTCAGGGTGGGCTGG